ATGCCTTTGTGGAGGATGGAACTTCAGACGACACGTAGTCTTAATTACGGGCTACGAAATTCTCCAAGAACAAGGGTACAGATTGGACTGAATGGAGTCGATGACATAGCGGTGGAGTTTTCCTCTTTTTTTTTTTTTTTTTTTTTTTTTTTTTTTTTTTGCTGTGTTTGCGACTGGAATGATTGGTTTAAAGTTGAATAAGAGGAGGTTGGAACCGTGATTTGATTGTTGGAATGGTGTATGGACGGTGTGTTGGCGGAATGGAAGGTTTTAATGCTGGCAACTGGAACAAATCGTAAGAAATATTCCCTTTTAATTTGTTTGAGATACGAATAAGTTATAAATCATTAGATTAGGGTAATTCCATTTGTTGCAATGGCCTCTAACGTAAGCCAGTTAATTAACGCGGTGCTTCATTGTTCCCAAGTCTGATAGACAACAAAATCTAGAGCAAGTCAGAGTCATCGGACAAACAAACCAAAGCAAGATGACCTGTAAAGCTAGTCAAGCCATGCCACATGACAACCATAGCAAGCGACACAAGCAACACGACCTCCCAAACCCAACCCGAATAAACAACACGGCCTCTACACCCAAGCCAGATAAGCAACACGACCTCCGTAGACAAGCCAGGTAGGCAACAGAGCGTGCCTACCCCCTCCATCCCCCTCCCCCCCTCCTCAGTCTCCCCTTCCCTCCCGACACCCCCGACACCCCGACACACCATGGTCGGCAACAGGGCGTCTCGACATATCGGCTTTAAAGGCTCACACACACACGTGACGAGCGCAACTGCCGACCAGCTTGGAATAATTGGCCCCTCAGACCCTCCTCCTTCGCCTTGTGCATGGAAGGTGGCGAGAAGAAAAGAGAGGATAAGAGTGAAAGGAAGAGAGAGGGGGAGGGAGAGAGAGAGAGAGAGAGAAGAAAGGAGAGGAGAGAGAGAGAGGGAAAGAAAGAAAGAAAAAGAAACCGATACAGTAGAGAAGAATGACTGAGACAGAGAGAGAGAGAGAGAGAAAAAGAAACGCCGGAAGATTACACATACCGACAGAAACCAAAGCTGCATCGTTAGCGGAGCTCCGGCTCGTGTAGTGCACTATGGGAGTACGAAGGAAAGGCTCACAAAAGCGCTCACTTGCAGCTGCCTTGTTTGCTCCTTTTAATGGCTTGGTGCTCGCTGGATTTTTGTTCATTAGTCCCATTCATCTCGCCACTGATTTATACAAAAGGAAACTATCGTTAACTGGAACACGGACAATGCGAGACACACTTTAATATAGGTATTCATGTTGGGAATTGGAATGCCTTACATTTAATTCTTGTTTTTTTGTATTTTGTTTATTGGGGTTTCTTGTGAGTAAATTAGTAGTATTGATTATATTTATTCCATAAAAATATAACAATTTTATTTTATTTTCAGGAACTGACACCTACAATCGTTTAAGGTAAGTTTAAGGCATCCGGAGGCATGTATACGCAGGTGAAATTAACGTCATCGCTTCTGTTCGTAAGTCCTTTACTCATAAGCTGAAAGAGTCATTACGTTTTTTTTTCTCTTCATCCCGATCCTCGAAGGCGGCCCAGCTGTCAAGGCTCCATTACAGACACTAACACGACGTTCTCTCCACGTACAAGCAATTGATTCACATGGCGTTTTCTGATTTCCCTTTTCTTCCTCCTCCTCCTTCGCTTCTTCTTCGTCTCCCCTTCCTCCTCCTCTTCTTGGCGTTCCCCGTGTCCGAGCTGCAGTCTGAGGGCGTCGCGGGCCTCGCTGGTGTGCGGGTGGCAGCCGGAGACCCTCTTGGAGTCGAGGGCGCGCCGCTCCAACGCGTCCAGTCCGGGTCCTTCTCCAACCTCGAGCGGCCCCTCTAAGCGTGGATCACGTCCTGGCTTGGCGGCGGCGAAGGTGGTCCTCCTTGATCCACTTCGAGTGTTTTCTAAAGGGGCGTGGCGCTCCCACGTCGCGGCAGCCACCCACGCAGGGGTTGGGTCCTTCACCCTCCTCGGGTTCTTCGCCTCCTCCTCGCTGCCGCTGTGCCCGCTCACGCTGTCCACGTCCTCGAGGTCGTCTCGAATGCTCAGGTCGCCCACGTTGAGGTACCGTGACACGTCGCCTGCAAAGGAACAAGAAACCACTGCATGAACATCCATAAAAATGAAGTCCTATCTTACGTATCAAAAGATAAGACCAAAATCCCTGCCCGTCTCGTCAGCCCCACCCCTCCCAGCGGAACGAAGAGGAACAGAGGAGCCCTGTGAGGCGACCTCCTGAGGCTCTCTAAACATTATGGCATGAGGCTGGGGCTCTCGACCCCCGCCGTGACTCCTCCGTTCGTTGAACCACCTGACAAACAAAGCAGTGCTCACTGATGCATCACAGCTGTTTCAACCGCCCGAGTCATCCTGGAACCGTTGGAATCGCACCATTGTCAAGCTCGGCTTTGATGGAGGGGGTGGAAATGAGTCCTTGTGCTCCCTTATTTAGTGCCACACTATC